GTGGCTCAGTCGTTAAGCGTCTGCCTTCAGCTCAGGTCATGATCCCAGGGTCCTGGGATCGAGCCCCGCATCGGGCTCCCTGCTCGGCGGGAGGCCTACTTCTCCCTCTCCCACTCCCCTGCTTGTATTCCTGCTCTCGCTCTCTCTCTCTCTCTGCCAAATAAATAAAATCTTTAAATATAAAAATATACATATATATATACACACACACACATACAAACTCAAAAAGGACAAGAAGAGGGAATAACTGTAGATGAGAGAGAGCAATGAAATTGAGATGGACAGCAAAATGTCCTAGTAACGACAAACGGAAGAGATGAGGAACGCTAACCCGGGGAAAAGCAGCTAACCATGAGAAAGCTGATTCCCAGAGCAGACCTGAAGAGGCACACTGGCACTTCTTGACACTTCTTGAGACAGGCTGGCCAGGCTGAAAGCACAAGGGTTTCTCCTGAAAGGCCACAGACCCCATGACCACCCTCTCTGCACCTAGAGGCCCCTTTCACCACCGGCAAATCTACTCCCTAAAGAAGTGTGTAGAGCAGAAAATGGAGATGAAACCCTACGGACAACAAGGGAGAGAGGATCAAGGGTCAGTCTGCATAGGCAACAGAGGCAGGGCAGACTCTTCTAAATTTCTGAGGGAGCCACAGAGGTAGCAGACATCTATAAGACACCATGCAAGCTGGCGCTCAAGGGAGTTCATGGCTTCAACATGAGATTGTTCCACATTCCTTTAGATGACGTTGTTATCTTTGCAAAGCTAGGTTTTCCAGGGCTGGTGGGATAAAAATCAAGTACTACGCAAATGTTAATGAGGAACAGGATATGAGGGTAGCAGCTGTTTGCTCCAAAACAACTATTTACGAAATTTTTTTAAGATTAGAGGAACTCAGGGTGCCTGGGTGGCTCAGTCAGTTAAGCGTCTGCCTTCAGCTATGGTCATGATCTTGGGATCCTGGGACAGAGCCCCACATCGGGGTCCCTGCTCAGTGGGGAGTCTGCTTCTCCCTCTTCCTCTGTGCGCACGCTCTCTCTCAAATAAATAAATAAATAAAATCTTAAAAAAAAAAATACCGGAACTCCTTCCAGAGAATGTTCTGCATTCACCAACGTGTGGTCCTCAAGCAGTTCTTCGGTTGTTCTGTTCTGACTTCCAACTAAACCATGTATGTATTTTCAGGTATGTTTATCTAATCACTGCTCTGATTAAATACACAAGCGAGAAACTGCACAAACTAGAGCAGGGTGCCTAGCTACACACCATAGTCAAGTGAGTTCTAACTTTTTGAACCTGTTAAATCAAAACACTCCTCTAAGGGCACCTGGGTGGCTCAGTCGGTTAAGCTTCTGCCTTTGGCTCAGGTCATGATCCCAGGGTCCTGGGATCGAGTCCCACGTGGGGCTCCCTGCTCAGCGAGAAGTCTGCTTCTCCTTTTCCTTCTGCTCCTCCCCCTGCTCATGCTCGCTCTCTCTCTCTCAAAAAAAAAATCTTAATAAATAAACACTCTAGCAAGTTCTAGAAAAGAAATCTGTAAGGCTTTTTTCAGGCTTCTCTAACACTGGCAATGCAACCACTCATATGAAAACTACCTTGGCCTCTGTACCCAAAAACCTAGTCCAATTCACAAGAACTTGGAATTAAAATAGTTCAGTTTACATTGAACTAACAGTTCAGTTTGTTAGTTTACACTGCTCTGCTAGCCTTCACACTTGGATAATGAATGTGGCCACGGAATGAGTATATCAAGTTGCTCCATACTATTTCTCCGTCCCCTATCAAACAATAGCATAGATTTGTAAGGCATCAGGCCTTGGACAGAAGTGGAGTCTGTGTCCAGATTTCCCACCATGAAGTGAGCTGGATTCAGTGAGGGCAGAATGTAAACCCTGACTGCCTGCTTCATTTCTGTATTTCTTTCAAAATACACACCCGTTTTCCCCACCCTGTGCTGATTTAGCTGTCAGCTTACTTGCATTCATTTACTTCTAGCTGTCCTCTCTGTGCTCATGATAGGCAACAGCATTCTAAACCCTGTATCCATCTTGGTCAAAAATTAACAAAAAGTAATGGAAGAATACAGAATGTGGAAATACCCAGAGCTCAACTTTCACAACATGTACAATATCAAGATTCACTCTGGAAAATAGAGATTTCTCCTCCAAGGTATCTAACAAGCCTAGACACCCCCAGGCTTCCTGGCAAGCACGGCCCTAGGACTACCTCCAGGCTTACCTCCTCAAGACAAGGAGAGGCCAGGCCTTCTCCACCTGCTTATACACCC